GCCAAACTATAAATCCCAAGAGTCAACAGAATGGAGCTGTGAGTATGACCACAGCGCAGGAGAACAACTTTGGAATATATTTTAAGCCCATTCTGGGGAGAGATTGTGGGACTGGAAACCAAAGGATTGGTCCTTCCCTTGATGCTAAACTTTTTTTTAAATGACCCAACATTTCTTTAAATGACCCAACTGACCAGACGCCTGTGGGTCAGTCCGAACTAGAACTGAATTAAATTCACTTGACTCAATGGGTCTACTCTAGTGAGGGAACAAATAGGCCATTGTGTACAATGATCCCTGCAACCTACTTTTGGGTGTATGCGTTTTTTACTCACCGTTGCAATAACGTACTGCATCAGAAGAAGTGGGTTTATATCCACAAAAATATCAAGCATAATTTTTAATGAAACCACTTCATCTTGAAGGTTGCTGCAGAGAAAACAGAGACTATACAAGGTCTGGAAACCATAAAACCCTATGAGGAGAGACATAGGGAGCTGGCTTTGTTTAGCCTGGGGAAGAGAAGGTTAAGGGAAGAGTTGATAGCCTTTTTAAAATATTTGAAGGTAGACTGAAGAAGTAGAATGAAGTCTAGGAAAGCTCATGCTGTCAACTTCTTTCTTTCAGTTAGTCTCAAAAGTGCTACAAGATCTCTCTACATACTGATTCTACAGACTAACACAGCTATATCTTTCAATTCTAATTGAAGGTATGACATTTTGAAGATAGAGCAAGCTTGTTTTCTGCTGCTCCAGAGAATAGGACCCAGAACAATGGATTCAAATTCCAGGAAAAGAGTTTCTGCTCCAACCCTTAGGAAGAACTTCCTGACAATAAGAGATGTTTGAAAGTGGGATGCACTGCCTCAAAATGTGAAGGAGTCTCCTTCTTTGGAGGGCTTTAAACAGAATCTGGATGGCCATCTGTCGGTGTGCTTTGATTCTGTGTTCCTGCATGGCAGAATGGGGTTGGACTGGATGACCTTTGAGGTCTCCTCCAACTCTATGAGTCTATGATTCAATAAGAGAAAGGAAACCATATAAACAGAGACATCGAGGGAATGTATGGCACAGCCAAGCTGCATCTTCTTAGCTTTGATATGTCAAGGGTTTGTGACAGAAGTCCTGCTTTTGCTAGCTAGGATCTGCCCTTTTATTCATTTCCTGGCCATCCACCTTTCTTCCCTCGGAATTCCTTTTAGGGTGGAGGCTTCATCCAAGGGTTCCTCCTCCCTTTCCTCTCCAAGCCTTGACCAGTCCAGAATCTGCTGAGCTTCAGTGAGGTGGCAACCTGGGATGGACAGGTGAAGGGAGAAGCTGCTTCCACCTCTTTGGAGAGAAGAGTGTGGTGGTGGGTCTCATAGATGTGTGAAAGGAATGAACTCCCCTATCTCTGATTAGAAAGGAAGATGGGACTCCCAGAGAAGGTGGCAAGGTCTCTCTATGAGCCCCTAAGCTTGGTCATGAACTTAAGGAATAATTGTTAAGGAGGCTATCAGCCCACACCAGGGATCCATCTAACTTCTCTATCCCCATTCCTTTCTAGAGCTTGAAAAGCTCCCCAACCTGGACAGGGAGTGATGGTTGTTGTAGTCTAAAACCACATCTGGAAGGCCTAGGCTTCTGGAAGGCAGCCTGGACCAATAAAATGTAAGAGGGCAGGTGGTGGTGGTGATGATGATGATGATGATGAACATGACTTCTAGTTTTTGAAGTCCCCATGTCCAAGATGTATATACAACACACATACTGAGTTTGATACCACTTCATCTGCCATGGGTGAATCCTAGGGAATCCTGGGATGTGTCCTTTGGTGAGATACTGAAGCTCTCTCTGGCAGAACATTTTTAAATATCTCTCCCTAAACTACAACTCCCATAGGATGCACACATGACAGTTGAAGCGTTTTCAAGCTGTTTTAGTTGCGTAGTATGGAAGAGCCCTTGAACACTTTTATTGCTGAGCAAGAAGGTGACCATCAGGTTCAAGTCTAGAGCCGAAGGAAGGAAGGAAGGAAGGAAGGTTGGTTTTTGTTCAAGAAGTGTTGGGTTATTCTTGATGGGGGAGGAGGAATTATTTATCAAAAGAACTCTGGCACACAAAAATGGGAGGTTACTTGGTGCCACCTCTTATGCCCTCTTGGTTTGGGATGAGATATGGAGTTACACTACCCTGCAACTGGTTTTCCATGGTAAAATAAAGGGAAGTAATGGGAATGACTTCTCTCCTTCCCAGCTTGGTGTAGTGGTCTGAGCATTGGACCATGACTCTGGAGACCAGGTTTCGAATCCTGGCTCAGCCACAGATACTCCCTGGATGACCTTGGGCAAGTCACACTCTCTCAGCCTCAGGAGCAGGCAATGGCCAAGCCCCTCTGAAGAAACTTGCCAAGAAAACCTCAGGATAGGTTTGATTTAGGGTCGCCATAAATCCGAAACGACTTGAAGGTACACAACAACAACAAACTCCCAGCTTCCTCGGACAGCTGTCTTCCAGAAAAGAGAGTGAGAGAAAGAGAGAGACCAGCGGAGGAGTGTCCCCATAGCGTGAGTTTCTTCTCTCTCGGGGCAACTGTCTTCCCATTGATTTTTCCCCCCTTTTAATCCAAGAGACTAAAAGAGATTAATCCCTATACAGAGTTCATCTAGGCCCAGAGTTATTTGGAGGCCGTTTGTTTTCCTTGGTTGTGTTCTTTTATTTTTCACTCCGTTTGCTTTTCTGCATCTA